CAGTAGGTTACTATGATGTACAGAGTTTATCAATCAAAGAGGGATTTTACATAAATAAGTCGTAAGTGGCAAGTCGTAAGTCGATGTCACACCCGAGCATTAACACGATAAAAAGCCGAGTTACCCACTTACGAGATAATTATCTCGGCAAAATTATCTCGGCAAATGTGATAATATGTCGACATAATTTAAAAGTTATGTCGACATCTTCTCAGATTATGTCGACATCTTTCAATAATTATGTCGACATACGTAACTCGTAAGTCGCAAGTGGATGGCAGAAATATGCCACCATAATACAGACACCATAATGGTTAAGTAAACTTAAAGATTATTTTAAAATTGCAAACAAAATCCCGACTATGTTAACTGTTGTGTTGATTCGTCTAATATGATGAAATAAACATCGACCTGTTGTATCGCACTGCATGATTGCAAGAGGCGACTAATGTGGCGCCCCTTGCAGACTTAATGGTTATATTCTGAGGACAGTACATATATCGTAATTAGTCTGCTTGATGTCTCAGTTGTGAAACTTGCTATTCCAAGATTTCGTCCCCTGTTTTCTGCTCTTCCTTACTTGACGAGATCGGGTTACGTGTATCTTGGTCTAAGGGTGAAGATTCTGTACCGAAACATACTCCTATCCTGGGTGCAAGCCAATGTTGTGATATTACAGAACACAGGACTGAACATCTGATTAACCGCTTCCGCTCAGTTACAAGCCATTGATGTTGTGTTTTTTTCACAAAATATCATGATTTCACTATAATTTGATAATACCCTGTCTGGTTCCTCAAGTTAAAATGGCCTCTGCATTACTAAATGCGTGTTTGGATGTTTCTACATAAACCATGCACAGTCCAAAATTAGAAGTTAAAGTAAAACATGTCTTATAGCGTAGATTTTATATTGATTATAATGTCGTGAATCAAGTATCAAAAAGATAATAAATCTAACGACAAAACATGATAAATGTGGATTGCTAATCACGTTTCAGCAAGCAGATGAATATATCGCCATGTGATTTGAGCTAAAGGTAACAAAATCACACATTTGCTAGAAAGATCGAACGAGGAAGGAAAAATTAGCACAGGGTATAACATATGATATCCTTATCTGAGGTGTAGGGAAGCTATTTAGAACTGGCGTGGATTAAATGGGTGTCTTTAGCACTGGTGTTAGTTTGGTTTGGTTCTATTTTGTTTCACGTCCTATTTACAGTTAAGGGCCCACTTGTATAAAAACATCACAAAGTTAAGGAACATCTCAAGCAATGTAATGTCTATGGGAAATCTTAGACTTGAGGAAATCTCAAGAGTTGAGATGTTTTATACAAGTGGGCCAAGGTCATTTAATGGCGTGCCTCCATGTGTGTTGTTTATGCGTGCTTGTGTGAATGTTTGCTTGAGGCAGGGTGTTTTGTACTTGCCTCCTTGTGAAAGCGCATATCTGATGCCGACTTTAAAGTGCTATCTCAATGAAATATCACGCCGAAGGCACCCAGCACAGCATCCCGCCCGGTCACATTATACTGACAACGGGGAAACCAATTGTTGAGATAACCATAAATGCTGAACATCAGCAAGGAATAACAACTACCTTTTTTAAGGACTTTGATATGTCCCGGTCTGGCGACAGAACCCATTGCCTACCCGACATGGGCGAACGCTCAACACAAAGGCCAAGGCACTAGGAAGTGAAAAAAAAAACGTTTTCAGGAAACCCAGAGAAAATATAAAGATCCCGAATATTGCAATGGGGGCTGCAGGTCAATTTTGGTTTCTTAATTGTGCCCTTAGCAACAGACGCAGCAAAAAGCCCCGATTCTGCATGGTGCTAACACTAGTCGCTTTTTACGACATGTAATGGGATATACCAGGCACTGGCGTAGGTAAGCCATGACTGCAGATAATGATAAAATCAAAAAGTTAAAATTGTAGCGTCAAACACATCATTTATCATTGTTTCATAATGCAAAATCCTGAAATGATAAGATCGCCTTTTCTGTCACTTTTCTATCAAAATTGTCAATGGTGTATATTGATTTTATAACAAACACGTAAATGCCAAAAACTGTTTATGGAACTCGCTTTTTTCAAGAAAAACAATGTTTTGTATTTTTGACCGGGTATTTCCAACAATGTCTATGAATATTTTATTGAATCGGTCGTTTTATGTGTTATGTCTCCTGGGATTTGTTAGGGCGATTATATTGTTGATGAGTCATAGAGATGAAACATATCTCTCGTTTGCTGTCGTCTGTCACGTGCAGCGTGTCATCAGGGCCTTACTGTCGCTTTATAGTCGAAAGTCAATCTGTGTTTTAATCCCTTAGCCTAAACAAATAAAAAAAACGTAAAAAAAAAGTACACATGTGAAGGAAATACTTTTGTAAATAGTATGTTGGGTCGGATACTCTGGTTTCTTTATAACAATCTGTAATGAGGTAATCGGAATTTCCGGAATAAGGTGAACTTAGATAGTTCCTCATGTGAAATGCATGTCTTCAGATATATCGGGGTTGTGAACAAATGTAGAGGTCCGTAAACCTACGACCTTCGAAATCCAGCTAAACTAGAGTATACCAAATCGCATCCGGATGTGGTACGGTTCTTTATTTACAATAGTTAATAGTGTATCCGCTGTCACATCCCTTTCGGTACGCTACTTTGTGTTCTATCTTATCAAATTACTGAGACAATAACACGGAGCAATTGTCACGAGGAGGGATAATTTAATTTCCACTTAACTGACGACCTGTTTTCAGCGTTACTTAATAAAATGAGAGGATGGCAAAACAAAAAAGCACTGTTAGTCGCTAAAGAGCAACTGTGGAAGTCTCATCGTTGCTCAATAGAGCAGATTTCCCAAATCTGAAATAACGTATTCAATAGTGTGGTTGTTGTG